TTTTTTTTTTTGAGAATAGTACCTCACCACTTATTTTATCATTTTGTATCAAAAAATTAATATTACAACTGGAATTATGCACACAAAAATCAGAGTGGTCTAGTCACGTCAACCGTAAAATTTACATGTAAAAGACGATAATTAATGAATGCCATCGGGTAATTTCTTTATATTGACCTCTGACATCGAAGAATAAATAATAAAAGTCTGTCAAGAAAGATACAATAGTAAAGAAGAGATCTGCATTGACTTGATGTATTAATTTGTTCTAAAACAAACTCACAAAAATATTTTCATTTTTGATTTCATTTTTTAAAATCATCATAAATTTCTTATAAAATGACAAAATTTTAATTGATTCAAATAACTGATAATTATTTATGAATTAAGAGGTAACTAATAATTATATTGACTAAATTGAACTTCAGTGAATTAAATTGAAGCATGAACTTTTGCAAAAGTGATTTATGCAGGAAAGGCAACGTTCTTACGTAACGCACTGGAGCGACGGAAATCCAAGTGATATCGAAGTGACGTGTGAAGTAGTGGGTGTTGATCCCACCTACGGATTTCCAAGAATATGTGATGCATCGCTTTCAGTTAACATTTACCAGAATAAAGTAGATTTTCTGGTTTTTGCTTAAGGCTTAGTAAAGAATTTGAATTTGCATTAAAGTATTTTAAGAACTATAAAAAGGATCAAACTTGTTTGCTTAGAAAGTTCAAAATATTATCATATGTTTGAAATCATCTAAATACCTAATTTTTTAAACTTCAAAAACTAAAATGGACATTTTTGCACCAAATTTGACGCTATAAAAATTTAAACTTCATTTTTGAACGAAACAAATACACTCAGTACAGTTTCCGTAAAATTCAGTATTTGAAAAATAAAATTTGTAAAAACAAATGCATTTATAATAAATTGATTGTTTTAGTTAATTTGTATATTATTCAAGTCAAAGATGTTATTATTTTTTGCTCAATTAAAAAAAATTTTTACTTGATATTTAATCTAAATTAATTGGCTCCAGAATTTTATTTTTTCCACTCACAATCTAATTGATTTTCTTTAAATTCGAGTAGGTTTAAATGTGTGTTTTTTCATACAAAGTCCTGCCTTTTTCATGATTTACGATTGTTAGATGAATCTCGCATATTAACTTGTTTACAATAATTATGTGCAATATTTATTTATTCATTTAATTAGTCAATTAGTTACTTATTCATTTATTATTATTATTATTCAATTTTATTGTCTACGCATCATTATTTATTTTTGTGCTTATTATCAACATCAATATCACTATTATGATTGTATGGCGAAAATTAGGGCACCAATCACTTCCTTATATAGTCGAATACAATAGCATGCAGGGGGTGAGAAGTAAAATTACAGAGTTGAATTGAGATTTTATAAAAAATTTAAAATGGCTGAGGTGAACAAATGCAATTGCAGGAGAAAGAAGAAATACGAAAAAGTTTTGATATGCAGACATTTGGTGTTGACGGGAGTATAACTGTTCAACTGGCAGCTCGTTGTTTCAACAGTACAATGACCATCGAGAAGCATGAGGAGCACTGTCCGTGGTGTATGGAATACAGTGATGATACTGTAATCAACCAGCAGGTAATCTCCCCATTTTAGGCACAAAATTATTTCTATCTCAGTAATATTTTAGTTGATTTAAAATTGTGATACAATTTGATCCAATCTAACTTGCATTTTTTCTTCAGTTTAGAGTGTCTATTTTCAAATAAATTAAATAATGCTATTTTTATTTCGATAATTTTTACTTTAAATAATTACTTGTTTTGTCATCTTATCATTCATTATGTCCCAAATTGATTTTTCAATAATTTGTAGCCTAGCTCATAATTTTCTGTTGCAATTTTGAATGATCTGTTTGTTGTGCTAGATTTACGGATATGTAGAGGCTTGAACTTTGAAACCACGTTCAAAATTACATGATTACTTGAACTACCAAGATGCAATTCATATTACTTTTGAAAGTGATGTTATGTTCACTAAAAAAATATTTTCGATGATTGAGTACTTCTTTTGCTACAATACTGCTAATTACAGTATCCAGAGGATTCGAAGTCTACTTTCTCACAGTTCATCGGGAATGAAACTCACCTTAATATTCTTGTAATTACCTTTGCATTAACAACTGCTATAAGTAGTGCATTTTGTGCATTTACACTTTACCTATACGCTAGACAAAAGAAAACTACCGATTCACCATGTATTAAATGTCAACCATGTAGAGAACGAGAACTAGATTCTGCACATGTTCATATTGAATCACCTACGGAAAATAGCAAGTAAATTTATTTTGGAAGAATATTTAATTACCAAGTAGAATACTAATTCACCCCTATGAATTTCTTGCTCCATCTAATATATGAATTTAGATACGATGCTCCGTGGGATCGTAGATATCGTCCCTTACCACGATGGACAAGTTCTAGAAGTAATTCTAGCGGTGCATCACCACCAGACACTTCTTCCACATTCACCACATCTTCACAGCACTTAAAACCAACCAAAGTAATCATCGGAAATCACACGAATTCGTCAAGTTCGTCAATATATGAAAAACCCGAAAATCGCAGCAGTCTTAGATGCGTGTAATATGCATATTATATTGCAAAAATAAATCTCGACGGAACAGCATTATTACTGCATGTGTATTATTTGCATCAAATCAGACTTATCCCAACCTCATGAAAATATATTACTCTTAGAAGTAAGGTGAGCATAAGTTATACTGTAAAACGTGTATGATGATCTCTTTTGGTACCTGTGATGATCTCGTTAAATGTATGATATCTTGATTTGCAGATTACTTTTGGTCAAAATAAAAGATTATAAGCAGGAAATCAATGTGCGAGCATGTTTACATAAGTGTTTTTTATTAATTCTGCATGAAAATGAAGTAAATTGGCGCTTATTTGAAAAATGGCGTGTACTGATCATGAATGGCCTTTAAAATGAACCAATGCTTAATTTGCAAAAATTTCGATCTGACGAAAATTTCAAAATGAAAAAATAAAAATTATGTCAAATTTTGCTCTAGTTTTTGAGACCTCTTAAATAAACAAAAATTGACAAAAAGTTAATTAATTTTTGACTTTGCTTTTGAACTGCATATTCAGGTTGTTAATAATTATGACGCAAGAGATCGCGTAGCGAGCATGCATTTTTGTAAATGTAACAGAACAGATACTAATGAAGCCGTAAAAAGCTGGCAAGTAATAAGGAATGAAACAAAACGTACAATTCATAATAATATTGCGTCATAAAAAGAAGTGTCGCTTCCTTTCGGAAACAATATGCGTTGTGACCTTTAACCTTTTCTTTTGATTCAGCCGAACTGTTTCTTGCCAAATGGGAAGAGATCAATACGTTATAAAACAATTACACTCTCAATGAAAAATTTTTCTGTACATATTGAAAATATTTAAATTTTTGTATCCGATTTAACCTCAAAGTTAATAAATGCATTACTTCAAAAATTAAGATAATTTTGAAAACATTCTCAATCCAGAAGCAAAGTTTCCAACTCAAATCGCTCTCAAAAGTAATCACTGTCTTTTTTGAAGTTATGGATGGACATTAATGATAAATTTTAATACTGAACGCGACATGAGTGAGCGCACAACAAACAAACTGACAATAAATGAATTGAAGGCACAATACTTGCAGTGTCAAGGATTTATTAATTTTCCTTGACAGCGTAATGGAATCAGTGAAGAAATGGAAGTAAAGCCAAAGGATGTAAGCCAAATCTTAGCTAATAAATCATTTTTGCCATTAAAAGTTTGCAGAAGTAGCCAAGAAAAAACCCACATCAAATAGAAGCTAAACAATTTTCCAAATTCTTTCTTTCAGACGCTTATTTCTAAATTTTTCGGTCAAAATTTGGTTAATTATTTTGATAATGCATTTTTTTTGCTATGTTTATGTAATCAAAAAAGTTGTATTTAAATATAACTTTGAGCTAAAGTTTGCTTTTTATTTTGGTGATAAGTAAGTACCATAAATTTGTAATTTAATTTATGGCAATTTTTGGCAAAAAAGCGAAAAGGAAAAAAATAACAGTAGAATGCTTGGGAACGAGTGCGAGAAGATTAAAGTTGGATTAATCCCTATTGTATGATAATAGTTAGTCGAGAAGATTCCAAAGATTAATTGCCAGAGTTAATTAATATTGTTCATACTAATTCAGTCAACCTTTGAAATCAGTCATTTTCTCGTTTTTAACACTTCGAGAGGTTATGCACGCCTTTTACTCAACAGATTGCTTCTTAATTATTTATGTTCATCAGAATATATATATATATATATATATATCAGTCATCTTAACTGTCTCATTTCACGTCTTTTTATCCAGTCATATTGTCCGCTATGCATTTTTTCCCGAATTTTTCGAATTGAAAACTTCCAATTAAATATGCATTCTTAGCTTAATTGAATAAATTTTTAAAAGGAATTATCCGAATTTTTTATCAGTTGATATTTATACATATAATTGTGATGACTTTTATTATTTGATTGAATTGAAAACCGAATACAAATTTGTGCTTGAAAAATTGTTTGAAAAAAATTTATTTTCAGCAATGCTCGCAGTGATAGCATCGCTTTCTGTGATTAGATTGATCACCATCGTTCGGGCAGCCCCATCAGTTCAACAGCAAATGGCTGTGAAGGGATTTTGGATCTCAGCTGATCTGCTAAATATTGAATGGGAAGCAAACTGTTTAAGCATTGCTTACTGTATTGAACCAGAATTGAAGATGACCAAAGTAAATCCATTAAATGGCGAGAAGAGCTCCTTCAGTTGGCAATTGAATGAAAATTTTCAGCAAGTACTTTAATTTTGGATTCGTTTGAAATAAATTACTCAAAAATTATTAGTTTATTACAACTTTAAAAAATTTAAATTTCCATTTGAATCATGAATGTATTATAGAAAAATTTATTCTGTAAATGAATAATGACTAATGATTTTTTTTAATTTATTAAATTTAGATGTCTAATAGAGCTTTTGTAAGTCACTGGATAGAAGGATCAGCTGAGGATATGGAAATTATTATCGAAGTTATTGGAATTGATCCCAAATATCGATTCCAACGAAGTTGTGATCAAACTTTTGCAACAAAAGCCTTTGCTCATGAAGTATGAAGCATTGTACATTACTTTGTGCAAAAAAAAAACAATGTAATTATGACTGATTTAGAAAACGAATTCAAAAACTGATATCATCAGTGGTTTGGGCAAGATGATTGTGGAACTAACAGGTCGTTGTTTTGTCGCTTCCTTGGCTGTACAGAAGTACAATAAACACTGCCCATGGTGTGAAAATATTGAACAAACTAATATAAGTGCTATTGAGGTGAGCCAATCATGCATAACTAATACTCTTTTTGATTTTAAAAATTTTTCTGTCACTAACTTAATACATAACTGTTGAAGCTATCGAACCAATTTATGGCACCAGGAAATCACTTTTTCATTATCATTACTTTCATTTGTGCAGTTTGTGTAATAACTCTAATTGGCTTGATATTATCAATTCGCATTTCGAAGCGAAATGAAAAATCTCGAAAGCAAACAAAACTAAATATAGCAACAATTGCTCAACCTGCTTGTTTGGACGTGATTTCATTTCAGTATGTCTTGAACTTTTGTTTTCTGATAACTTAATTTGCATGAAAAAAACAATAAAACTGATTATAATGCTTATTGTGTAATACTTTTGTAAATTTAAATTTATTTACTTAGTCAGTTTGCTTGCTTTTAATTTCTGATCATACTGTTTTATTGATATTTTTAGTAAAAAGAATAATGGAAGTTTACTCCGAAGTATGCATAAGAATGAATTTGATGCAGCAAGCAATACGAATATGAATAATGTGTTAGGGGAATTTGGTATGAATGAAAGAAATGGTGCAATTTGGATAAGTGATAATGATATGTTACCAGAAAATAATATGAATTCCAGTGGTTATGCTTTTGTTGGCGATGTCTAATTCAGATGAAATAACTTGAATAAAAATTCATAATGCGGACTTGCCATAATGACAAAAGATATAAATAAAATTCTGGCTCAACAAGATGGATTTTTATTGCCTTTGCGTATCTTTCCTTACTAAACTTCTGTTCCAAATAATCATTTTTGACTACATTTCTACCAAACATAATTTATTGGAAATATGACGATGACTAATTTGATAAGTTTTGTTATGGAAAATTAACAGAGAAAAACGACTGCTAACAGTGCCTTTATCAGCCAAATTAACTTTCCTTCAAAAGTCCTTATGAAGCAAAAAGCCATTAGAATAGGTTTTTTCAATTGCAAAAATGGCGTTAGAAGCAATTCCCAAGTGGAACTATAAAAAATTTTGAGAGTTTGTATTTTTAAGAATTTTCATCTGACAACAGACTTGATACAATTCAAAAAAATTAAATGTACGTTACAAAATCACATTAAGAGTATCAATGAGCGTACAACTGAAACTTCAAAAGTAATTAGTTAATCATGGAATGATTTAATAAAACTGACGTATTTTAATTTCCATGATTTGTTTTCCAGACAAACGGATTAATTTGTCTAAGAGTGAGATCATTCTGAATGTATTTTTAAAAATTCGCATTTACTTTATCAAAAACTGAACTCGCTGTCCATACAAAATTTCGGAGCAATGGTTAGTTAGGCTTTTCAATTTCATTTTAATTATTTAAGCTTACGATTTAACTTCTTAATTTTTATTCAGAATTTATTTTAATTTTATGCATCAGTTTCCGATATTATTTTTCCGATTGTAATCTATTCCGAATTTTGTATTGTGTTACTGCGCGCGTTACAGTCTGATTATATGTATGCAAAGATATGCTAGAATAAAAGTTGATAAATGTTATGTTCAGTGACATGAAATGCTTATCATTCGACCAGAAAACAAAATAAAAACTGTTTGTGTTACTTTTGGGATATTAATTTCAAATGGAAAAATTTGGTCAAATACTGCAGTATTACACAGCTCCTCATTTATCGTCCACTGAAACTTGCAGGATGTTTGGATTTGGTTCATTAATGATACAAACAGATTTTAGTAATATTCAAAAAATTTTCGATCTTACAATTATGAAGTTAAATCTTCAAATTTAAAGACAGAAACTGAAAACGTCAGATATTTCCATCAAAGACTTAGATTGAAATCTTTGCCATGATATTTGTGAGATCGAGCGAATTACAAAACAAGTTTCCAGTTCGCCATTTAATTAATTATTGAATAGATAAGACAAAATATTTAATTTGAAAAAATTATTCTTTTCAATTGCTGTAAATCATCAGTAAGCAATTATTCATTTTCTCACGATCTTAATGAATGCATTAAAAAGTTTCAGACAAATTTGAAATTTGCATATCTATGGTTTGGGAACGTCTAACAGATTTTAGTTTATCATTGAGGCATCTTATAGATTTATTAAAAGATTTGCACCTTATGACATATATTAATGAATTCTCACTTTTGATGTTGACCTCTGACCTCTGGCTTTGATGGTGGGAAAGAAATGAGTCATAATCTCATAACATGGGAACGAGTTGTGATACTAATTACAATACTATATATAAAGGATTTCAATCGGATGCTCATTTTAATATAATTTGTCAATCTGAGTTCTTGCTGAACTCTTGCTATCTTGAAATTTTTTTCGAAATATCCTACTGAAATTCGAAGGCGAAACAAAATCCTTGATAGGTATGATTTTCATGACTTAGTAGCAAAGTGATAATTTTTCAAGTATTAATTGTTCTTATGGAATTCCAAAATTTATAGCAAAATTTCCGGTATGAGATGGCAATTTCAAGAAGAACTTTTCGATAAGATGTAATAATTATTAAAAGGATAATATTAAACTGTAACTGAATTTCCAGCAATGTCAGTGATAGCAATATTCTCCCTCATTGCTATTTTTGTTTCCAAAATGGAAACCCTTCCGGTGCGAGCAATATCAACTCCCACCGGACAACTTCTGAATGCAGAAGAATTCTGGATTTCTGTCAAATTATTAAATATCGAATGGAAATCTGAATGTCTTTCGACTGCCTACTGCAGTGAACCAGAGCTAAAAGTGATCAAGAAAAATCCAATTAATGGAGAAAAAATCTCTTTTGCATGGTTGTTAGATCAAAATTTTAATCAGGTTCTTATAAAACCTTTTAATGAGTACTAAAAAATTAAAGAATAACGAAGAAAGAATTTAACTTTTGTCAGTGAACTTAAAATTCATTACACAAACTTATTTTTTTATCACTTTGGTTAAATTTCCTCGTCAATTAATTTCGTCAGCATTTTATTACCAGATATTTCTTGCATTTAGTTCTCCAACAATCCGTTCATAAGCTACTGGAAAGGTGGATCAGCTCGAGAAATTGAAATGGTAGTTAAAGTAGTTGGAGTTGATCCCATTTACAGATTTCAACGCATTTGTGATCAGACTGCCTTAACCAAAATATTTTTAAATGAACTCGAGGTAATTTCTTCTTATTATTATTATTATTGTTAATGTCTCTTATAGTAAGTCACTGTAAATAATAGCATTATTAATATAGATCAGTACTCTTAATTAAGAAATAAAAACTGTAAATGAAGGCTTATTATGAAACAAAATAAGAAGTAGTGTAACTTTTATGCCATTTAAAAGAAATCAATACTTTCAATTTGGCTGATAGATTTTAAATATTTAACTGTAATATCAATTTAAGAAGTCAAATTCTAATAGTGTGAATATAAGAAATGAGCAGAGCAGTGGTCAAATGATAGTGGAACTGAATGGACGATGCTTTGAAGCTACTTTTACAGTTGAAAAGCACATTACCCATTGTCCGTGGTGTGTGAAAGCTGAAAAAAGTGCTTTGAAAGTAGTAAGTGCTAATTTTTTCCATATTTTTTCTCAAATTAAAATTTTTGATGTAATTTTTTTTCAGACTTTTTTGATTTTTAATTTGATTTATATTTTCAGCCTTTTTTCAACAAATTTTCACCAATCAAATGGAATATTTTGGCCATAGTAATTTCTGCTCTGGCAGTAATATTATGCCTGGTAACTGCTGCAGTGCTTCTATGTACTACATGTCGACACGTGAAAGCAAAAAGAATATCTAGCAGAATGATTACTCCGCCAAGCATCTGTCAACAAACCGATTGGCAATATCTCAAAACTTGGTAAGTTATAAGATTTTGCAGTTAACTAACAACTGAGTCCGCGACTTTAATTCAAACATGCTTACTTTTTAAGCTCCAAGCAAACATAATTATGCAAAATAAAAATATATCCTACTTCAGATTTCTTGAAAAAAATTTGCATTTTATGATAACTTTAGCTATCTTTTCACTTTAAAACAGTCAAAGGCTCATTCTATCATAATGATAGGAGCGATTGGAATATAATTCATCAATTATTTTGAATAAATGAGAAGAATTAACTAAAAATAATCAAAATTATTTGCACATTGGAGTGAAAATATTATTTTCAGCGGAAAAGATCATTCAAATGTGAAAATATCGCGAGGCAACAGCGACACAACCACATCTATTAGTTCAGAAAATAGTTCAGTCATTTATGATAACTGCGATGCGTTAAGAAATTGCAGTTCTCAAAAGTAGTGATGATGATTGGATAAATGGTCAATCGCTACAGTGATAAAACACAAACACAATGGTAAAACAGATTGATTGTATGTTCGAGCAATTCGCAAATCTGATCGTAATTACCGTTTTTTCTTCTTTTGCCTGTTGATTGTATTTTTACTGTTTTCATTTTTCGGAGTAGTGTAGAGACTTTTTTGTTTTCAATTATTTACTTTATTGCTTTGTCAAAAGACAAACTTCTAAACTGACATTAACCGTTTTTGTATTTGCCTTAACGGTGAAGTAAATAATTTATTCAAATATCTGCTGACGTAAGTGAAAACCAATTTCAAATCACCAAAAAGGCTTGCTATTTTAACAGTTGTTTTTTTTTTGCTAATTTTTTGTTGTTCTATTATTTTTGATTGTTAGACTTTGTACTTACTTTTGAAGCTTTCAATTCATTTATTTTTACTGCCACATAATTTTTGTACTCCATCCTTTTGGGATTAATTTATGAAGCTCAATTTTTTGCCTTTTTTTCAGTGAAGCTCAATTTTTTGCCTTTTTTTCAGTGATTTGTCTGAATATTGTACATAATGTCGATTTGTAACAATATTGTATACAATGTCAGTTAGTCAAAATGCTCCTTGCAATCGTTATTATGTTTTGTTACTCATTTTTTGCAAAGTTTATATTTACATAAAAGTGAATCCTTTTAAAAAATATCTTGTGGCATTACTTGAAAACTCACTACATATATATATATATATAAGTCTGCACTTCTTTCTCAAAAGTGCTGCAAGAAACTCTAAAAAGTAAAATTACCAAGTATGAACATTGAAAGAGTTGTAAAATCAAATTTGGATCTAACTGGACAAAAAGAAACTTCAAGAAATAAAATTTATTACCGTTTAAAGTGCTAACACAAATTGAAAACGTATTTGCATTAAAGTAATTAGAATTTTAGAGAGATAAAAAGTTTGCCTCATTTGTAAGCTAATACTAACTAAATTCAGTGCTGTAGTTATTAAGGTAGTAAGCTTGAAAAATGTTCAGTGCTTGCTACGCCTAATTTGAGGAGAGTTTTGATTCATTTACAGTTTAACTTTACAATAAATTTTATGTCAAAATTAGTGGTACTGATAAGTCATCAATCATTTGGCAATGAAATAGCAATATGAACATTTGAACGGCTGTCAAACTATTATTATGCGCAATGCATTGCTATATTATGAGTAAACATTTTCGTTTAACTTTCATAGAAACACAGATATTTCTTTTTCATAGAAAAGTTTTAGCGAGAATATGTATAAAACTTTTCATAGAAAAGTTTTATACATATTCTGATTTCTAATCTTTGAAATGTTTAACAATTTTCTTTATGCACTTGAAAAAATGTCATTTTTATGTTAAAGATATTTCATATTTATAAATTGTTCGCTTCTCTGTACTTTCTAGTTGCTTGCAAAAATTATCAAAATTCGAGTGTGATACGAATTTCTGGATATTTTTGATAAGTAAAGCATATTTTTGAAAAGACAATGTTTGTTACGCCAGCACTTTCACATATATTGTTATTCGCATTTACCAATTATTGTTACCATCCATAACGTTTTGTTATCATTATTACAATTATCGTTACTACACATTACGATTGCAATTATCGATTTTGCGAAGTGATAAAAGTCGCTAACTAATATCAGCAAATTTCTTAACAAACTGCAAGATTTGTTAGTGAATAACTTTCAAAATAATTGTTACACATTACTGCTTCATGATTAGATAGTTTATCTTGAAAATTTTTAAACTTAATTTTGACATCAATTTTTGACCAGTTAATTAAAAAGTTTTTAAAATAGTAATTGTAAGTGAAAAAATAAAAGTTAGTAAGTGAGTTTTAAAAAAATGTTTAAAGTTAATTATGTAAAGTTTTAAGTTTATGCAAAATGCACAATAAATATCTCAAACAAAAATTTAAAATAAAAAAAAAAATTTGCGAAATACTGATAATTATAGTTCAAATTTAAGGGTTTTCATCTTGCAAACTTATCTACCCTTATAGATTGATCGATCTAGAAAAACCAAGCATCCAAACGAGAAGCAGCAATAATGATCCAGAATGATCGAGAATGAATCGAGAATGATCGAGAATCGATCAAACAGTGTCGCATTTGCACAGACAAAATAATAATACCACTACAAACAGAAATGAGCTCTGCTTACTTTCGTATGCACACACATACACGACGCACACATGCACACACACATGCACACACACGCACTTGCAAACTCTCAGTGCTTTCATTACACTTTAGTGATACTTGTCGAAAGTATTAAAAATTGTTATTATTGCTGCAAAGTGCACGCATCCGTTATTGTTTTATTGAATTTCTTGCTAAATTCATACTGTTGGAGCGAATCGCAAATCACAAAACTGTTATTGTTGTAGCAAATGGATTGCAGACAGACTATAAGTAAGTTTTTTCTTTGCATCAATTACTTTTGTACACACTTAACTGTCAGTGCGTTGGCTAGAATGCATGTGTCTGCTCTAAGATTTCATGCACGATTCTTAAAATCATGAATGGTTGAACCTGAAACTTCATTTTAATTAGGCTTTTTTGCTTTAATTAATTATCTCCTTTCGTTCGTTTAATTTATAATTGTGTCTCAATTCTTTTTTTTCTACTTCCACTTTTTGTGCATTGCAAAAAATAGAGTCAAAAGTTTGAAAAATTGAAAATTTCATGATAGCAAACTCAATTTTAATAATTAGTCGCTGATTGACTGCTATTTTTAATAATTGATTTAAGTTACTTTTTTAATTAATAAAGATTTTGAGTTTTAGTATTAAATTACAGAAAATGAATCAGTCATTGGAGGTAGTGAAGTAGAAAACGACAGTGATATCAGCTTTTCTAGCAACGATGATTTTGAAGTTTTTGCTTAACTTTTTTATAACAGTTTTTTGTATTACAATCTTTTGACCTTTGCTGATGAAACATTTCATAGTGAAAATTTGCTTGTTCTATGCTATGAATTCATTTCAAAGTTCATTCAGTAAGTGTAAAACATATAAATATTATTGCATTTATATTCAATTTTTGCTTCTCTGTGTTATATTATGTGATGCCTGTAAATTTTTCGATAGAATCTAATTATTCCAAACTGAGCACTTCAAATACTGCCTAGATATTAGATGAAAATTTTTAAAAATTACTGTATATGTAAATGCCAACAATCTTGACTTGTGCATTATTCGTTCACATATCACACAATAGAATACTTGAAGCTAAGCTGAAAAATACTTTTTAGTATACGCAGCGCTACTTGAAAACTGAAATTCATTACTTTTATTAACTAATTTTTGATCACTTGCAGTATTTTTTTCAGTTTTCGATTCAAAACGTGTTTTTGAGCAGTTTTTGAGATCACTAGTTTGTTCAGTTAGAAGTGAATAAAATCGAGATTGGAATTTGTGCAAATGACTTATACTAATTTTTGTACTTACAGAGTTTTTAATTTGTTCGTTTTCTCTGAAATTTAGGTAATTGGTAGCAAGACGCTGAAAATTTTAAATGATAATATTGAAACGAGCAAAATCTCTGGTGAAGTTTTCGAAAATATTACGATGAAACAAGGAGCACTGCAAAGTTTGCTCATTTACTACTTGAATCGTTTTCAGGAAAACCTAGAAAATTCAGGAAACCTACATAGAATTTAGAATTTATTGTTTGTATTAAGTGATGATTTGAGGATTGCAAAAGTAAAAGTAAAGTTGTAATTTGTAAAAAGATATCTATTTCAAGATTGAAAGATTGTTTTTTGATGGAGAATTGACAGGTATTCGAATAATCAAAATGTCTAAATTTTTATTGTAGCATCAATTGGTAAAGTATATCGGAATGAACTGCAAAATATTACAACAGAAATAAATGCTACGAGCAACAATAATGGAGAGATTCCGAAAGTTATCAAAATTTCAACTTATTGAATTACATAAAAAAGTTAATTTGTTAAGTAAGATTGTAATTCTAGCAGATTAATTATTTCATGCTTTGTTTTGCTTTCTTACTTAAAAAATGTTTATGGATTCTTATTATTTTTTTAAAAATTTTTTTGGATGCTTAGTCAAAAAGTTTCTTCATTCATTTGAAATAATAGCAATTAGGCAGACTATTGCTAATTGTTTCTCAAATTTGTTTTTAAAATAATTGATATTTCTATTATATTATGTACTGTCGTGGATTTGATTTGAAATTCAAGGAAATCAGTGAAGTAACAAATGATGCTCATTGCACATACTTGTATTGGAAAGTGCTATTTGTGACAGTAATCGCTTTAATTATTTATAGATCATTTTTTATTGACCTAACAAATCTTCACAATTTAGAAGTAAGTTATTGTTTTGGCTTTCATATCATCAAAAATGCTTTTATGTTTTACATTTTGAATTAAATGAGCTTAATTATTTCATGCTTTGTTTCGCTCTTTTACCTAAACAGTTTTTATGGATTCTTTACAGGATCATATTATTAAATTAAAGGAGCTATTTTCTTCTTGAAAAAATCAAGTGTATGACGTACTTGTAACATTTCATGACAAATTTCATTATCAAATAAATATAAAAATTAGCAAACATTTCTATTTTCGCCATGTTGAACCGAAATGTGATGGAATTCGTTAGATAACAACATTCATGGATATGCAATTAACACTTCAAAAGGTAGAGTTATTACTGAAATTCAATAATTTTCCGCTAAAACATTGTTTTCATATTTGAGAGAGACACTGCTCATGAATCTGACGAGCATCAAGTAGAGATTCAGATGCAAACTATTATTCGACAAAAAAAAATCATCGAGAAATTGGAGCGTCAGCTGAAGGTTTGGACTTTGGTTTTTTCATGCAATTTAATATCAACAATAAAACATGCAGTTATTATTGCTGTGTTTTAGATGTTTTAAACTTAATTCTCCAAAATATTAATTTTTGAAAAATATACTTCTTTCCTAAACTATTTCAATAAATATTCATCGAGAGCAAAATTATAGTCAAACCGCAGTGAGATGCACTTTTCGTTTACACTTCCATTTAATGAAATGATAATTTTGCATAAATCAGAATTGCACACACTCAAAATCAGATGCCAGTTCCCTAAGTGTTCGTATTGATGAGCAACGAGCAAAGTTCGAACGAAGAGATGGTTTCAGTTATAATGTTTGTTTTGGAATGGCTTATTATTTCAAATATTCAAATAATAAAAAAATGAACTTCAAGGATTTCGTTCTGCACTATTGTAAAGACAAAACAAATTTTAAAAATAAATAATTTTCATGTCTATCTAAACATCAGTTTTACAGCTTTTTTAGTTGCTTGAAAGTAGTTTTAAAGTAATTTTTTCATTTTTTTATAGTTTGTGATACTGGATTGGAAACGCAATGATCAAGGCAAAGCTCAACAACATCTGAATTTGGCCTTGAAACAAAGCGCTTCGAATGTTTACGTTTATGATCACGGATCATTGTCTGGGACATTTTTTTCTTTTGGTGATAGGATAATCGATATTGATGGGATAACTTTTGCTAGAGCCATCGATATTCGAGATCGCATTATTTGGTCTCATCATAATAAAGTAAAATTTTAACAGTATAAGTAATTAATTATATTTTATTGACTAATGAGATGATTGATTGATTCGTCGGAGAAAGGATCAACAGTCGTTCATGCACGAAAGCAAATAGCGACCATAATTTGGTTCTTTTCAGGATTATTTTACGAGTATCATTGAACGACCTATAACAGAACAAGCAATGAATATTATGTCCTCATTTTTAAATCCTTCTAATTCATGTTTTACTGTACTGCTACGTGTTTGACAAGTATCAAATGAAAGCTAACTTGACATGCTGAAGATAAATTGAATCAATTTGAATCAAATACTTTTTGATATATTATTCTATTTATTATGCAGTTATAGAAATAATTCATATCAGTGTTTTCTATGATGCCTTACAGAGAAGTAGCAAAAAACTGAAATTAAATAAGTAAATAAATAAATAAACAATTGCTTATTCGTACTCAATGCATTAGAGTAATTCGTGTTAATTCTATACAATAAAATGTTTTATCTCAAAAGTTGAGTCCTTTTTTATTATCAGTCAACGGCATGAGATTTAATGTCGCAAAAAAAGACATCAGTGTATGACTTTTGCTTCGTTTTATAATTGTTAAGTATTTATTATTACTGTCCATTATGTGATCAAAAATGTTCGCATTGTTGTATGAAATAGTAAGAATGGTCATTTTCTAATTCTTTTGTACATTCATATTTAACGTTGTTACGACTACTGCCCTTGACTTTTTTACGTTCGCATGAGGCTAACTCTTCTTGGTGAACTTCTTCCATATTCTCATATTCATTATGTTCACTAAGCTGAAAAATTTTTATTGTTTTACAATTAAAAACATTGTAGAAAGTAAATTTAAAAATTTGAATGACACATTATTACCTTCTCAGGAATTTGCCAATCCAATAAACTACCCGCAAAAAAATTACGACGTGCCAAGTCAAGACTCTGTAATAGTACGATTACATTAATTCAAATAATAGGTTTCAACCTGCAGATTAAACTTGGCCTGTGAGCTCAGTGATCAATTTTGGTCATTAACAGTTTTTTATAATCAAAATATGATCTCAAGCACAGCATTGCTGATCTTTTAAATAATTGTAGTGAGATTGTGAAAGAAAGTATTAGAGAATAAACTTACAATTTCAGTTACAATGTAGTCATATTTTGGTTCATGGTAGAAACTGGCATGACAGAGGTTCCGATATAGTACTAAGAGTGATGCAGGTGGATTTGGCTCCGTGCCGAACTGTTGCATCAGCAAGTCTATTGTTTCCTTCATTTTTTCCACTTCCGTTTTTTCGTTCACAAATCGCCACGGTAACTGCCCAGTCATATTTTCTACAGTTATATAGTAAACAGACCAGAGATCATCATAACGTGACATGTCCTGAAATTTTTTTCAAAGTTGCTGAATCACTAAAGAAAGCCTTCAAAGCTTAGATGTTTATTGCGTTATAATTTTTTGTAATATCTCCTTGACTGAATAAATTTTATGATGAAAATTCATGTCACAATATATGTGAATTGATTAAAATTGCAGAAAAAACTGCTACTACTTGAGTTGATTGCTTTGTTTGTATGGAATTGTCTGATGTATTGTGCCAACATTTTTTTATTTCAACTTCATTCTAGACTTCACATTAATAACAGATCAAATTCACGTTAATAGAGTTATTAACCTACTTGATGTCGATGGGTGGTGAGAGATGCATAGCGAACAGTACCATGGAATGAACTCGACTCACGTCGCATCTTCATCACGCCATTGCGTGAAATGAAATGACGTGCCATACCGAAATCCACAAGAAATAATTCTTGCTTACCTTGTAGTTGCAAGCCAACACAAAAATTTGCAGGTTTCACATCACTAAAAACTTGATTGGTATACGATCATTATTTCACGACGTAAGTACTTCTTTTTTCACAGTAATTCTCAAATCGTAGTTGCACAAATTGTGTTCACCGATGAATCCACCCCAAACGATGTAAGTATTTGAGTGCTGTAATCATTTTCTTCATAATCCAGAGTGAAGTCGTTATCGAGAAGCAGTCATTCTTTGTACCTTTCTTTAATTCACGAATATTTTTGCCAAATAAATCCATCACCTGAAACACGCTAAAAATGATCATACGAACTATACTTACATATTGTCACACAAATTTTTGTCTAATTGCAACCACACATGTGCTGAAGTATGTTTCACAAATTCGACTACAGTATGCAAACAACAAGACTACCATTTTGCTTAATTTTAAATTTAAAAAAATACTAATGCATTCATCAATACTTCCTAGTTGTTTGTTATTTTTTCTCAATATCTTCAGCATGAAATTAATCAAATTAGTTACAGTACTTTCAGATCTGGTAAAATTATTTTTGCTAGCAGTAAAGTCGAAATTGAAAAAGTCGATAAAGCCTGCAATATTTTCGATTCTAGAAACTTATTGTATTTCTTTGAGAAACACACCATATATCGAACTGCATGTGTTTCACCATATCCGTAATAATTTGGTATTGGTCCTTTGAAAAATCTCCGATTTCTTCTGATTGCGATATTAAGAGCTTCTAGGCAGCTTGCTTCTATGCGCAATAATGGAATCTGAAGTAATGGCTAAATTGACACTGATATCAATGAACTTTATCTCAGAGGCGCAGTGATTACTTATCTATGATTACTTGCTTCAACATCCAGTATTGGGGTATATTGGAACTCGGAAATATGAAGAATGTAATTTAAATATATTTTGAGCAAACGCCATGTACTCAACGCTTAATGCTTTAATTCCTCCTTTTTACAAAATATACTACCATCCTTATTTGCACTTGTATATTGCTAACACTATTATTGTAAATATAAATGAATATGAATTAATTATTCTGACAGTTGCATTAGTTTGTAGACTTTTGAATTCAGATATCAGAACAATTATTTTCTATTGACATTTGTGAGCCATACACACGTTTGTAATATCGTATGTTCATGCTTCAAAAGTTACAAAAATGTAAAGGAAAAAAAATGAAACTCAATAAACTTTAGCATCTATCGATTCAGCTTTTATAGCGACCAAGTGACCTGTGTTAATATTTACACCCGAATATACCTGAAATATTTGATTAAAAATGTTCTATTTGAATATTACTGCTAGAAAATTGCGGGGAATTTCAATTTACCCTCTATTTTTTGATATATGCAAGAAATCAAAGTAAGTTTTGGAGTATTTATAGAGATGTATACAATTTCCAGTTGAAACTAAAGCATTATCACAGCAGATGGTATTAGTGGTTGTTGCTATGAATGATTAATTTTAGTCCTCATTACCTCTCTAAAAAGTTGCTTAGTTCTTCTAAAATTTTATTTTTGGTAATTTCTGATTGTATTTTTAGCAATAAATTTTTATGATAATTTTCGCACTTACACTAAATTTACTTGTGACAACTTTCCCACTTCACTACTCAATAGCAAATATTTAAATGTTTTCTTATAATATTTGTTTCTTCTTCAAGTTCAACCACAAATGTGCCAAAATCTTGAAATTATGCTGTGTGATGTTTGAAAGGAAAAGAAGCTGTTAGATGACACTTTTGACCTGTCCAAAACCACCGGAACTGATCAACCGTTTAAGCATAAAGTGCCGGTTGATTTGTGTATCAGGCTTGAAAAGCAATTTTCCGTTAGCGCCAAGAGCTGCTGCTGCTTCATCCTTTGGCATTGCTTAATTTTTTCATGAGTTACCATCATCATATATTCCATATAAGGGTAACTTTTTCACATTAAAAACATTCTGAATGAAATTTGCAAGAATTCATTGAAAAATTCTTGAGAAATTTGATAAAATCTCCAAGTTAATTTATTGAAATCACAAGCAGAAATTGAAATTAGCTCTCACTTTGTTGCCAAATCAGTTAGATTTCAAAAAATATTAAAAAATCTGTTTAGTTGCTCATTAACCGAGAAATGAGCACAAATTCAGTCCAGAAATAAACAAAATGACGAAATGACAACTGGAGCACTAGCAAGACCGTTTTATAACACCATCAAGTCACTTATGCTAATTTTATCAGGCTAATTTGAAGCTAAAATTAATTTCTCTGACCAATTAATTCTTTGATAATTGCCATTTAAATTTTAGCTTTAAAATTTTTACTGCCAGCAGTGTCATTAAAAAAAATTGTCATCTTGTGATAGTTCGTACAGTTTTTACAAGTTAGCAGTAAAGTGTTCCAAATATTGGTTCCTTTCTTCCTTAATGCATTTGCATTGCAAAAAAATTTAAAAAGTTACGCATTTCAATAAACGAAAATTTTTCGTAAAAATTTAAATAACTTTTCTCATATTTTTTAAACAGCACTATTTGCAATTTTTCAGTGATAATTTACTTTTTTCAGTCAAAAATATTTTTGGTAAATAACTAAGAAAGTATAGTTTTGATGGAAAAATTTATTTGTAATGAACCAAAAAGAGTAAACAGTTTTGGAATGTGAACAAAAAATACTTCTTGTTTACAAAGCATTTCAAGTATTACAAACTCAATTGAATTCAGTAGAGAAATTCGAAGTTACGTTCGATGCTTCAATTTTGCAAGGAAATAAAGAAAAACTTTTTGCAAAAGTTAGTAAACCATCCTTACTTTACGTCCAAATTGCATACGTAATATAATAAAGACTGATAAAAAATGATTTGAACTAAAAACTATTTTTCTTGCCAAAATTGACAAAATTAAAGAGCGGATATTCGAGTAAGTTTATGTAAGTATGCATTGTAAAGGACAATTTCTTTTAATCAAAGTTAAAGTAATTAATTTTTAGGAATGCTGCACAAATGCTATTTGCATTAGCTTATTTATCTTATCTAATTTATGAATTAAATCTACTCCTAGATTTAATTTTCTCGTAATTTTTATTTAGTCGACTTTTTCGGCCATAATTTACTTATTTCAGTTAAAAATATCATACTGTATAGTAGGAAATTTACCATCTAGAATTAGCTTTAAATTATGGAAATTGTTTTAAGTTTCATATAATCATTTTTAAGTAATCATTTTCCTACATTTGTAGAACTAATTCGATGTATTGGGACGAATAGAGTTGTATTCGTTTCATTATCGAGTTGGAATTAGTAAATGAATACAATTATTTAAAATGCAAAACGCAGTCAATATTTTGAAATCAGGTTTGTACTTTAATTCAATTAATTCTGTTTGAAACTAAACTACAAATTTTAATTCCTTTCAACCTAAAAAAATTGAAATAAAGTATTTGCTTTATTTACGTGCTTCACTCATTTTCCAGCATGTATTATTATGTGCTTCGAGTAAGTTATCAATCGTTGAGCATCAATTGAAAATAGTAGTAGTTTCAGAGAAAGTAGTATTTTAGTCATTAGTTTCTAGCAAAGAGAGCAAAGGTTTGATTTTTAGTTGTAACTTTTTGTTTGCTTTAAAATTGCTGTAAAACTGCCTCATCTTAAACTGCTAAAAAATTATTAGGAGCAAGACAAAAAATGTGATTACCAAAGAGTGCAACAATTTTAGTAATAAACTTTTTCAGTTCTGTCACTTAAAAATGCAAATTTAAAGAATTAATTCAAAAAAATAGGATTTAAACTTCACATTTTCTGAAGCAAAAATTACATATCAAATCAATAAAAGTTACATATAGCAAGCTTTGCTTCCACTTTTGATATTATGGCAGGCTTTAAGTTTATTTCAACATATGACTGAAACTTCAAACTTCCAGGCCTTTTTTTGTATTTTTGAATGAGCAGCGATTGTTGGCAGTATATAAAAAAATAAAAGTTATCATCAAACTTGCAAGAATCTTTTTTTGTTTTCCTCTTATGAAGTTGGCATTCTAGAAAAAGAGATCCAAAATAGTTATTTGTAAGTCTTCCATTTTCTCATACTTCTATGATTCATCAGATAATTTTTAGACTAGCGAATAGACACCTCATCTCATAAGTAAGACTCTACAATAAATTCTCCAATTAATTTCCGAGTGGAAAATGCACGTATTCACTAATACTTACTAATACATCAAATAATTTATGAAGTTGGAAAAGAAGAACATTCAGGAGTAGCTTCAAAAAACTTCCTTCTATCTTCGAGATCTTAGTCAAATCCTTTGGGATTTCAATTGAAGAGTAAATAATGTTATATCACTCAACCCAGTCGTATCAGTCAGAATTTGGAAGGATATCAATATAATTTCACACATGGCACATCTTTCATTCCATTTGGTTTACTTAGCAAATCAGTTTTCTTTCTTTCAATTCAATTTACTCTACACGTTACCACAATAATTCCTTTTTCCGTTCCTCTCACGTATAAATTTGTTGACATTGCTGATTGCAAAATTTAATCTAATTTTAATACTAATTTTGAATTTTAAGAATGCGTGAATTTGAAGAGAAACTTTCTGAAAAGTTAAAATATATATTAAATATATTCGGCAATTTGACAAATTTTTGTAGTTCAAATCTTTTATATAAGCTAAATTTTTCAATAAATCAGTAATGATACTATAATCAAATAGCAATTTCTGTATTACTAATTATCTTAAAAATACTTTTCATACATGAATTCTATGTACTTTATATTGAAATGGTTACTGTAAATAAATACTTTGTCAAGTAACTGATTATATTTTAATCTTTTATCAATCTTGCACTCTCTGTTCGTATAATTAGTGAATTCAGAAGTTAGTGTGTGAAAGAATTAGCATAAGCACATGCTTTTGATTTAATGATTAATAGTTCCAAACATTAATTCTGATCTAATTATTAACTTTTTATAATAGTTTCTTGCTGATATTAAATATTTTTATTGTTACTTTGAAAAATGTAAAGAAAATGAATTAAACCAATTTACTGAAGTTCAAATTTATCTCGTCATTAATCAAATTCTCATCAAATATGTTTGATTCTTCTAGTATATCAAATGTTTAGTTAAACAGAAGGTATAAAAGTTAAAGTTAATCGTCATTTATTTCATATTCCGAATATTCAATCATTATCATACATTGAGATAATAAACTGAGTGCTGTAATTGCAAAGACTCTAAGCAGTGTTGCTAACATAATTTGGCACACTGAATAATGACCAAGCGAGAAACTATTTTTAGAACTAATAATTACATCAAATATTTCGTTCATTTCAAGAAATCTACAAACTTTCATCAACTTTAGCACAAGTATTTAAGAATTAAACAGTAAAAACTAGATTAAAAATGTGAAAGCTATAATATATGAATATACGGATCGATTTCAAATAGCATAGATCTCTAGCAAGTCCAAGGGCCAGATTTGGCCTAAAATTCTTTAATTTCATAGCTGTTGAAGCTTAACTTATCTAATTTTCAACCATGTTTCAAACTCAATGTGCAGATGTTTTTAGGACGAGCTAAGATGAATTAGACAAGGTAGAAAATGAGATAGCAAAAGGGATTGAATATAGGCTTGGCTTACTTTATCGATCATTTCCAAGCCATCCTCTTAGCACTTTCTTAAATCCTCCAGTATCCATCCATTATTCATGCACAATATACACACATAACAACTGCAGCATTATTTTTGCATATATCACCTTTTCTTTCGCTCATTATTACTTCACTTCATTCGCTAAACTCTTTCACAGATCAGAGAGTCTGAAGTCTGAAGTTTTTTACTGTGTTCACGTTGAATAATACTTGTGCAATGCTTCTTTCCCTCCTTCTTCAACTTAGCAGTAGCGTTTACAACTTTGATAGTTTCTCTCTAAAATCGCATTGTACTCTTTTCTTTCAATGCAAATTTTCTCACTAAATTCTTTACAAAATGCAAAACTCTCGACAGATATGTCAATTACTTTTATTTATTTCTCAATGTTAGTCAAAAATTTCGCTCATTTACTTCGTGTTTGCTATTTTCTCACTTATTTTTTCACGTTTCGCGCTTTGACTTTAACTTCTAATGATCTTTCTATGTATAAAATTATTCCAAATGTGTCTGGCACAGATCTATCTCCTTTCAATCTCTCTTCTCTACTTCGTGATTATTTACTTTTAATCATTGCATTTTACTAAACTGTTTATGTAGGAATCATTTTAAAAGTAATTATACTAATATTAACTTCCAATCAAAAATTGTAACATTTTTTTTTTTTTGAAATTTGGTTGTAGAATAAAGTGAAGTAATTTTTTCCCTTGGAGAGAAAAAAAAAACTTAGATGTAATTAATTTGATGAACGAACAAACGTTTGGAAGTATATATATACGTATAGAACTATGGTGTTCATATTTGATCTTTGTTAATATCTTTTTGTCTCGTGCAGAGATAGCTTAACTCAGATTGATTCATGTTTTGGTTTACACTTGCAATGCAATTAATGTTTGCTTCTTAGCGCAATCATCGTTGCTTAAAAGATGCTAAAATTTATACTTCATTTTATGGGTGTAAACAGCACACATTAAAGTGTGACAATTCAAAGTAAGTGCCACTAACTCATCTAAAATGCATAAAATTTAGATTGAATTCGTGTCGGAATTTACTCTTAATTTAGATGGAAATGTCAGCTTGCATTCATAATCTGAAAAAGTTTTAGCTTTCGTTAATTTTGAAAAAAACAAATTTGAATGATAATATGTTCATTTTTCATTTTTCTTCTCTCATATCAATGCTGCTATTATTTGCAAAGCTGAGCTTAATCATTTCACTTGTTGACTGATGTAATTTTTGA